TTGTCGGAACGTTAGAGGTAATATTGAAAAGATATTTTAAAAAAATTTGAAGCTACTATGGAAAAAAATAAAGGTTACCATATTCTTTCTGAAGTAGTCAGTGTTCTAGCTGGAAATATTTCGGAAACAATTAATTTAAAACCAAATGTTTTGGTTAGTTTGAAAAATGCTCCCGTTACATTAGTTGATGTTGAACGAAGTTTTTCCATATATAAATATATGTACTCAGACAGAAGCCACAAGTTTTTGTTAGAAAATTTTGAACACCACTTGGTCATTTATTGTTACCATAATTCTAAATAAGTTTATTCATACTTAAAAATGATGTAGTTACTTAAAATAAATGTAAATCTTAATGAATAGTAGGAAATATTTAGTTATGTACACTTTTTTTTTAAATAAAATTGTTACTATTTTACGATTTTTTTTATTTATTTGTATGCATATTTTGTAAAATATTTGCATATTTTCGGGTAAACACGTGCATATTTATGCGCATATTTTCTACATTTTTATTTGCATAATTGCCGAAGTCTAGTTATAAGGCAATCAGGTAAAATATACGTCACCTCGACAGGTCGCGATGTTGCAGCTAAGTCAATTCAGTTAATCATAAAATGCTGCCTGGACAAATGTTTTACTCGTTTAAGTGTCGATGATCAAAAACAATTATTTCAACACATTTATTTACAAGTAAAGCCTGAGCTGGACTCTTTGTTGGCTCAGTGTATGAAAAAACTTAATGTGAACTGTAAACGACTCAAGAATAATCAAAAAGTTTTACGAGCGTATATATGAAATATTTCGTGTCTCAAAAGGGTGACAGAATAAAAACATGTCAGACCATGATCCAAAAACTTTTTTAAGTATCTGTGAAACGCATTTGTGTAGTACAATTGAAGGTAACTAAGAAGGATTCATTTACAGAAAAGCGAGTGACACATGTCAACAGACCCCACAAATTGGCTCCCAACATTCATGACATGCTTAAAGAGTATTTGGAAACTATTCTGTTTAATAAAAGTCATTATTCCTAACACAAATCCGAACTAAAATATTTTGAGAATTCTGAATTAAATATTTAAAAGCTGTATGAGCTTTTTGTACAATACTATACAGAAAAGACATGCACAAATCTAAAGATGAAATACATGACATACTTTCAGTATTTTAAGTCACTACATTCATACAGTTTCAACAATCCCAAAACACACGTATGTGATTTCTGCACAGAATGTAAACAAAAACTATCTATTAATCCTAACGATGCCTGTGCAATTTCCTATCGCCTTCACAATGTGAAAGTAAAGCGACATATAGCAATGAGAAGGAATCTGATAAAAAGAAGTAAAACTGACAGTAGTTGCCTTGATATTGAATTTGACTGTGGACAAAATCTACCAGTTCTGAAACTCACTGTAACAGTGCAGTTTTATAAACGTCTACTTTGGTGTTATCTCTTTAATATACATATTCACAATAATGATTCATCTTTTATATATTCATTTTAATATGATGGAAAACATGAAAAAAATGAAAAAACAGAATTTCAAAAAATAAAACATAAGTTTAATTGTCTTTTCTGTGCACTCAGCAAAACACATAACCCAATGAGCTGTCCATCACTCCGCTTACATTCCTATCATGTGTACCAGGTGACAGCCCTTTTTTTGCTTAAACTGCACTGTCGACATCTTTTGCGCTTATTTTCTTATTTCAAGTTGTGTTCCGCAACAACTTTTTTCTGCTTGGGCCGTTCTGTTTGTCCCAATAAATGTTTGATCACTTCCTCTCTAAACTGAAGGTACGACATTTTTGTTTTTTTTGACATGTGTCTATTTTTATTCAACAACCAATTGCCGTTTCACATACAAATATTTACTAAATGAAAGAAAACTTTCTTGTAACATCTCAAAGTTTTTCCCGACATACAGGAATTGTAGTCACGTATCATTACTGGAATGTAGAATATGTAACGATGTTCTAATCGTTTAACAGTTCGAACCGTGGGAGTGTCAATACTTGCGCATCCACTTCTACAACGAGACGACTAAGTGGGATTCTGAGCGGCTTTTAAGGCGTGTGAGTAGCGGAATTAGATGGTCTTGTAGCTAGCGCTCTAGGCTCCCTGACTCGCCGGTGTATTGAACCTGCGAGCCAACCCGGACAGAGAGATTTCCGTATTGAGGATCATCATCTGTCGTTAACCAAGCAGAACCCATCGGTATTGTGTATTAAACATTACCGTGGGTCTGCACAGCCAAATATTTTGTTTGCGAGTGCGTTCGGAGCTTCCGCTGAATTGAAGTGGAAGCGAGTATAAGTCTGTGTAAAAAAAATAATATATTTTTTTCTTTTATAGACGTTTGTCGGGGAGATCATTCATCGCTGGATCCAGACGGGGACGTAGGATTCATTTTATTTTTAGTTATTGTATATACGGCCTAGAATTCATTTTATTTTTTATTTATTGTATATATGCTAAATTAATAGATTTATTTTATTTCAGCCTGTGTTTTACTGAGTCTGTCGCCCCGAAAGAGCTACTCGTCACAAATAGCAATGACTAAAACTACTTTTATGAAAATGAAGTGATTTGTTTGCAATAACCATCTCAGTTTAGAACTAAGACAACGAATGGTTAAGTGCTATGTTTGGTCCGTACTTTTGTATAGTGCAGAAGTGTGGACGCTAAAAGTATCCATCATAAACAAAATTGAACCATTGAAAATGTGGGTTCATAGACGAATGCTGAAGATACCTTGGACAGCAATTAAAACTAATGAAGAAGTACTAAGGAGCGTCAACAAAGAGAATTGCTAAAGGCTGTTAAACATCAAAAAATATCTTATCTGCGACATATAGTAAGGGAAAGTCGATATAAAATATTACAACTGATCCTTAAAGGCAAAATAGAGGGCCGTAGAGGTGTAGGAAGAAAACAAGTTTCTTGGTTGAAAAACATTCGTGATTGGACTCAGATATCAAATGCAGGCCAATTATTCCATATTGCAGAAGATCGAGAAGCCTTTGCAATAGTGATTTCAATTCTGGTGAACGATTTTCTTTTTCAAGAATTTCGGAATCACGATTAGATGAAATTATTGTTGCATTTCTCTTATCTTTCCATTTCAATACTCTCATTGGACTTCTTCTTTGTCATACGACTTATAGTTTCTTTAATTTTTTTCTAAAAGCATTATTTGGGTTACTGTTTCTATTTTTTCTTAATGTTCCACAAACGTAGGTCTTCTTTTCATGTAAAAACTTAGCAAGCTCATAACTGTTATAATAATTGTCCATGTATATAGTATGACCCTTCTCTAAATATTCAGTAATAAACGGATGCCTATTTCCATTTCTACTGGCGACTCACCGCCATCATTGTTCGGCTCACCCCCACCATTGCTAGTATCCTTAGTCTCTTTTCCAGAATGAGAAGGAGAATATTCACTTCCATTAGAATAAAATATTTCATCATTATGATCCTTTTTCGGTATCTCTGTACTCACTAACATCGCTGCCAGCCATCTTGGCCTGTAATTGAAAATCTCGTGTACTTAGATGTCGTTTTGACATTGTTAATACATCTGAAAGAAATACTAAGGGGTTAAACTGTGTATAAATAAGTTACATAGTTATATCACCTGTCTAAATTATAAACAATAACGACACTTTTCGTTTTTGACGTTTGCGAACATGCTATAAATTTATAGTTAATTATCCCCTGGGATATTACCCAATAAAGAAAGAAGAAGAAGAAAAATTATAGGTTTTTCTTCTCTTTTAAACGTCAAGATCACAACCCAGCCGTAGCGTGTGAAAGAAGAATTATTCAGGTGGACTGTGGGCAAATTTAGAATGTAGGTAAAATTATTTTTCATTTCATTACGTAAGTTCAGTGTCACACATGTGTGTCAGCAGTTCTTACAAAAACTTCACCGTCACAGATGTGTGACTGTTGGTTGTGAATGTGTTAATAGTAAAAACGTCCTGGGATTAGTTCTTGTTCGAAATAATTTATTAAAGCTTATCAGCTATTACCAGCTTTCTACAGACTATTTAGTTGTTTTTGGCATAGGACATTCACAAAACACAACAGTAATTAGTTTTTAAAGCTCTTAAATCTAATTTATTGTGTATTTATAAATACAATTTATAACATAAGAAAATGTAAGAAATCAAAACATAAACAAATTTTTTACTCTAAAAAAGCGGTAACACTGTAGATCATTTTGGCGAACCTGAACTGTCATTGAAATTTTAAGTAATCTCGTATCAGTAGCTTATGATTATCTAATCGATTAATAAATTTTTGTGGTTTATTAAAGCTTGACTATTTAATGTTTTTGGTATTTCTAATGTCACTTGTGCGATCGTACTCACGGAGGACGCAGACGTTCGGTCTCTAAGCAAAGACAATGACGTCGACTTTGCTAAGTATCAAGACAATTTACTCTACGCACACACACACACACACACACACCTACACACACACACCTACACACACACACACACACACTACACTATGGTACCTGACTGTACCATGCCAATGATCAATAGTTGTCGAGGCATTAACTCAATAATAAAAAATTCTAAAATTCTCAATATAATCATGATTACAGTTTTTTTATTATTATATCATGTTGACGCCTATGAAAGATTGAGCAGTTTTGTATGGATGTCGTTTTATTAGCTGTGTTAGGAAAATTTGAACTCTAAGGTTGCTGTTCTGGAAATTTTAAATACAAGAGACTGTCACTTTGTATAAATCGTGATCAGTTACGTTTTAACTTTAAAAATAGTATAGTAAAAATAGTAAACACTAATTTTGTTTTTAGAGTCATTTTATATGGTAATATTTATAGAAATATAATAGGGTTTTGTAGAATACCTGCTTCATTTTGTGTGTTAGGATTAAGTGGAAGTTGGATTAAATTTTCTTAAATAATACAAATAAAATATTGTTAATATAAAACAATAAAAAAAAATGTTCATACCGCTTTCCAAAGAACATCTTGGCCAAGGAATCAGCTCTCTGCGGCGTCGCCCTCCCATCCTCACTCTTAGTTTCAGAACTCTGACTTCTAGCTCTAAAAGCAGCTCTTTTATTCGCAGCCGATAACGTTGTCGGTGAAAACTCAGCAGCACTATGAGCTCTTCTAGTAACTCGTTTCTTCTTTTTCGTACTTCTCGATCTTGCTTGGTAGAATCTTTCGTGACCAATCACATCCGGTTCCTTTTCTTGGTCTTCTTTTTTGTTGATATTTTGATAGAGGTTGAACATGGTAAATGTGTTGAAGAATTTAAATAGAAACGTCGCGAACGATTTTCGTGGAGCGTCGTTTTGGTAAGAAAATGTCCACTGTTTTCTCTTTTAAAAACCATAAAAGCTGTTGGGCTAACCTTTTTAATCCAATTTTATTTTACGACTGGTAAAATAGTTACAAAGATAAAGCTATGGAATAAAAAATGTTTGTTCTGTTGCAGGTCATTTTATAACTAGTTTGTGGTAGTTTCTAGCCAACGAATTTCAAAGTCCTGATGGACAAAATCCAAAAGAAGAAGAGAATCCAGAACAAATGTGGAGAAAAATTTATAGAGATATGATAAAATCAGCCAAATATAGTGGATAAGAAATTTAAGAAAAGGAGAAATTATGGTTTGCAATGAAAAATATAGAAAAGAATTAGATGAGCGAAGTAAATCTAAACGACTAAGACTGCTGAAATTAGGATCAAAGATGCTGAAAGTAAGTACACTGAGCAACAAGAAAAGTTTGTCAAAAGCAAAAATATTACTGTCAGCTTTTATTAGAGCGAGTATATAACAGCCTTAGTGGGAGTCTTAAGTTGTCCATGTAGGTTATCTGAGAAATATTTAAATATTCACAACATAATTTCAAATAAAATATAAGACATATTAAATTGTGTACCATCTAAAAGGATTTTACTCAGGTATTTAGTGGCTTAACTCATGTGCACACTCGAGTAAGAAAACACTGATGATGGGCATTTTAGTCCGAAAACGTTATGTGATGTAACCCGAAATGGATTTTAAATTATTTTAACTTTTATAAAGTATTTCAAATAAACTTTTGTAATTGATGGTATACAGCAAAGCACAGGAATTTTATTTTCCTTGTAGCCTGTTTTTAACAACTTTACTGGTATAACAAGATAAGAAGTTGTTTCCTCCTGTTCTATGCAATTTTGAGAGAATACGTCGTGACTGGACTAAAGCAAAGCCTTTATTGTTCTAAGTCCCTATGGTTCGGAGTGAAACTACCGATCATGTTAATATTACTTTTACATGGTCAACACAAAGGTATTAGCAAGAAAAAAGTACAGTATCAATTGTGTGACCTATACCTCATCATACTCATCAATATTTGGTGAAACATCATCAACTCTTCTGTAGTTTCATCAAGGTGAACTGAATGATTTTGTGAATGATTTTCCCTTTTTTTATGATATATGCTAAGTTGTTAGCCTCCAAATTACAAAAAAAATCTATTTTTCCGAAACATACTTAAAGATTTTTCCCTTTTTCAGATTTTCAAAAAATAAGTAGTTTGTTTGGGCAACTAGAGAGAGCTATGAACACCTGTGGTCCAGATGATATACCAACTGAGTTGCTGAAACTAATGAGAATGATAACATTAAAGTAATAGTAAGAATTTTTAATTCAATATATAACACTGGAGTGATTCCCGCAGATTGGCTCAAATCCATCTTTATCGCAATACGTAAAAAAACACAATACGAAGAAAATGCTTCAGAAATATCGACTAATTAGCCTAATGAGCCACATTCTTAAATTTATCCTCAGAATACTTCACAACAGAATTAAACGCAAACGGGAAGAAGATCTTGAAGATACCAATTTGGTTTTAGAAAGGCTATGGGAACCAAAGAAGAACTTTTTGCGCTTAAAATCCTATTACAAAAATGCCGTGACCAAAGAAATATATGTATTTGCATGTTTGTGGATTTCTAAAAGGCGTTCGATAAAGTACAGCATGTAAAATTAATGAAAATACTAAAACATATCGGAACAGATGACAAGGATATTCGTGTCATTAAAAATTTGTACTGGAATCAAACTGCTATCATAAAAATTGGAGATAACTACACCGATGAAATCCCCATAGAACGAGGAGTCAGACAAGGTTGCATTTTGTCGCCAACATTGTTCAATGTATACTCGGACCAGATATTTAAAAAGCACTTGAGAGACAACCATATGGAATAAAAATCAACGGGCAACTACTTAATGTGATTAGATATGCAGACGATACAATAATTCTATCAGATAATATTGAAGGTCTTCAAATTCTTCTTGATCATATTCACGAGGTAGGAGAGGAAATGGGCATTAAAATAAACTCAAACAAAACCAAATTTTTAGTGTTTAGTCGTCACCCACATCCCGATGCAAAGCTTTAATTTGAACGGAGTCTAAGTTGAGAAAGTTCACAAAATGACATATTTGGGAACCGTGATAACGGATCAACTAGATCCAGACATAGAAATAAAACGTAAAATAGCAATAACTAAAAATACTTTTATTAAAATGAAGTCATTTCTTTACAATAACCATCTCAGTTTAGAACTCGGCAAAGAATGGTTAAGTGCTATGTTTGGTCTGTACTTTATATAGAGCAGAAGTGTGGACGCTAAAAGTATCGATCATGAACAAAATTGAAGCATGGAAATGTGGGTTCATAGACGAATGCTGAACATACCTTGAACAGCAAGAAAAACTAATGAAGAAGTACTAAGGAGCGTCAACAAAGACATAGAACTGCTAAAGACTGTTAAACATCGAAAAATATCCTTATCTGGGACATATAGTAAGAGGAAGTCGATATAAAATTTGACAACTCATCCTTAAAGGCAAAATAAAGGGCCGTATAGGTGTAGGAAGAAAACAAGTTTCTTGGTTAAGAAACATTCCTAAATGGACTCAGATACCAAATGCAGGACAATTATTCCATATTGCAGAAGATCGAGGGCCTTCGCAGTGGTGATCGCCAAAGTTGGATAATTCTGATATAGCACGCGAAGAAGAAGAAGATGAACACCTGCAGGATAAACTTCTGATACAGAATGCTCATACATAATATTTACAGAGAAGCTACAATAAAAATACAAATAGACGCGAAACCAAAGCTATACCAATCAACGGAGGAGTTCGCCAGGGAGATTTTAGTTCACAAAACTATTCACACTTGGACTGGAAGACGTGTTCAAAGACATTAACTAGGCAAATAAAGGAATAAGTGTTAATGAATGAAAACTGAGTCATTTAAGGTATCGCTGATGACATTGTAATATTTGATCGAGAAGCCACAATGGTAATCGCTAAAGTCGGATAATTCTGATATCCAGGATGAAATAACGGAAACCACTGTTAAAGAGCTATGTCCAGTAGTGGATATAAATGAGTTTATTTGACTTTTTAAATTTAGTTAATATTTTAAATTATTGCAAATAATGCTTTAGTTTTTACGACGTCTGAGCTAAATCCAAAATAATACTGGAATTTGCTATGATTTCCTAATTTTGTAGATTAACTTTGTTACGCTTTCTCTCAATATTTCCATGTGTTATT